TTTCATTTTAGAAGGTAGACGAGATGCTAATTAGGTAATAAAAGGAAGATAGATGCACTGGAAACGATATCCGAATCGATATCGATGTCGTCTTTCAGGAGTTAATGGAGGATAGTGAGAACAGGGATGTGGAACATGCTCATCGAGAAAGTTCGAATCGACGGAACCGATTACCGCCGCGACCACGGAAGTTCGTAGTCAACTGTGGAAACTTTTAAGTGAATCGAACACGTTTCGCGTTGATTTATGGATCGAACTTGAGACGTTCCATGTACGCGACGCACAGGAGGAGAGACTTTGAGACTTTGAGGCGAGGTCGTTCTGCCTGAAAACACGTCATCTGAACTTGCGTAAAGCAACCGCACACGATCGGATACTGGTTCAAAGTTTTATTGTTCGCGGACGATGAAAACATGAAAATAAAACACGTCGCTCGTAAATTACGTTTAATCTAGAACGTCGGACTTTTTTCGCGCTGATCTCGCGACGAATGCGCGGCGGCTTCGTTTGCAGCGTTCGCTCGTGGCAAAACACTAATAACTATGCTTGAGTTGCTTGAATCGCGACCGTACGTGCGCGTTTCGATCGCGAGAGAATCAGTTTTCTCGATCGTCTTCTTATCGAAACAGAAGTTAGATCGAGCGATTCTCGTACGCGGTTCTGTTCTGCCACGATTTTTCCCAGAATTCGGTCGGTACCGGAAAACTCTGTGACCAGATCATGTGGTCATTTGAATTGAATAAATTGACCGGTTTCGATTATCGCAGCGTCGTTCGTTCCGCTTTAATTGCGCGCCACCGGTGATTTATGTCAGCCCGGTATCGCGCTTGTGTATTACCGTTGATCGGCCGCACCGCCATTTTCCGCCGGCCGCGCGCTCACTCTCGCAGTGTCATCGCCGTCGCAAGGTGGAAACTCGTCGCGGCGATGTAATCTCATTTTATTCGGCGATTAACCGCGTCACCGCGTGATTTATAATATCGTAAACCAGTGGCCGCGAAATTAACTTCGATAACGTCGACCTCGGGCGTCAGGCTCCTTTTTCGACCGACAGAATTTTAGGGAAAGAGGTCTCGATCCTTAAAGCGTTACGAGTCTTCCAATTAACATGATGTATTCAGGATTTCTTCGATGCTGGACCTTTTGGAAAATTAATGTCGATAATAAACAGTATTTTGATAATGAGCAGAAATTCTTTTATCGAATTGTTTTCGAGCCTTTGGCTTTTAACGCCACGGACTAAAGATCGCGGCGTGAGATGATTTTAATTCCGCGCGTCCGGGTTTTTTAACAGTTAAGCTGTTCGAATAATTCTGAACTCTACGGTATATTCTACGCCAACACTTTTTTGCCTGTTAATGTACCAATAAAAGTAAAGTAACTCTTGCGAGTGCTGTTACCGAACAAATCATAATGTTAAGTAGATGAGGTCTCCAGTTCTTGTAACGGTGGTTTTTTATTTGACAGCGCGAGCGAGAAATGAATATCTCATCTGGAATGATAACTGTCATACAATTAGGTGCATTAATGCATTACGCAGACGGTGTCAAGAATAGTTTTCATCGTTACGACTCTTGGACGAACGAACCACAATAATTGAGGAATAATAGCGCGACTTGTGCGGTTTATTACAATTTCAATATTTTACAGTCTTTTTTGCGAAACATCGAAGAGGAACCTGATTACTATCTGCAAAATGTCGACGTGTAAAAGGATGTAGAAATATTTATAATCAGTGTCTATACGGATAATAAATTATACCAATATAAGTGGTTTGATGAAAATTTAATACAAATTTTATCAAGAATTTTTCGAAAAACATGGAGAATCGAATTCACCCGTTGCACGTAGAAATCTATATCCGTCACACATTGTGTGATATTCAGAAACTCAATCACTTTCTCCTGTTACATAAATTCTAGTATTTTATAAGATAGAACACTACAATTAGGAAAACGATGGTGAACAAATATAAATTAACTTAATATCTAAGTAACAGTTACCTCTAGTAACTTCCTATCGCAAGAAAATAGAATTCATCTTCGTTCAAACCGATTCGTTGTTGTTCTCAAAAATTTCTATCTTCGTCTAAATTT